CAAACATGAAAAGAGAAATAGCCGAATTCGTGTCCCAGTATTTGCATTGTCAACAAGTAAAAGCAGAACATCAAAGGCCGGCAGGACTTCTTCAACCTTTGTCGATTCCTGAGTGGAAATGGGAACACATCTCCAAGGATTTTGTGATTGGTTTGCCAAAGACACCGAAAGGTATGGATTCGATTTGGGTTGTTATTGATAGATTAACTAAGTCAGCACACTTTCTACCTGTTAAGACTACCTACAACGCCGATCAACTTGCCTTGTTATATGTAAACGAGATTGTTAGACTTCATGGAGTGCCGATGTCTATTGTGTCAGACCGAGATCCTAATTTTTTTTCTAGATTTTGGCAGAGTCTGCAGAGAGCTTTCGGAGCCGAGCTGAGGTTTAGTACAGCTTTTCATCCCCAGACGGATGAGCAGACGGAAAGGATAATTCAGACACTTGAAGATATGCTTAGACTTTGTGTATTGGACTTCCTAGGAAGTTGGGGAACACATTTGCCCTTAGTGGAATTCGCTTACAACAACAGTTATCAAGCAAGCATTGGCATGGCGCCATATGAAGCTTTGTACGGAAGAAAGTGTTGGTCGCCGATATGTTGGACCGAAGTTGGAGACAGAGCTCTGCTTGGTCCCGAATTGATTCAAGTAGGGACAGAAAAGATTAAATTTATCCAACAGAGGATTAAGACTGCCCAGAGCCGACAAAAGAGCTACGCCGACCAGAGAAGGAGTGAGTTAGAATTCGAAGTTGGGGATCATGTATTCCTGAAAGTTTTACCAATGAAAGGAGTTTCCAGATTTGGAAAGAAAGGTAAGTTAGCACCTCGTTATATTGGGCCATTTGAAATTCTTGACAAGGTTAACTCCGTTGCCTACAGACTTGCTTTGCTGCCAGATTTAAGCCAAATCCACAATGTGTTTCATGTTTCGATGTTGAGGAAGTACATCTGAGATCCACTACATATAATCGATCATTCTGGGATTACGGTTAATGAGGATTTGGGCTACGAGGAGAAACCAATGAGGATTATTGACAGGCAGGTGAGGCAGTTGAGAAACAAATCGATACCAATGGTAAAGGTCGAATCTTGCATACATTCCTGTAAGATCTTGTCTCGTGTATTGCAAATCTTGTTTATCTTGTTTTGTCTTGCTTTGTTTAAGGTGTTGCTTGCATGATTTTGTTCCTTGCTTGGTGTGTAGCCGAGGTCATCTGAGCTTAGTTCACCTCTGAACCCTTATATTTAGAACTGTTCTGGAACCGCTTGGTCGACCCCCCCCATCTTCACCTCGGGCATGTTTGCCGAGGTCTTTTGCACTTAGTGATCCTTGTCCTTGGGTAGGTATGGCCTAGACCGAGGTGTGGCACACCCCGGGCAAGGTGTGGCACAACTTAGTCAGGTGTCGTCCTCCCTAGTCGATGTCTTTGTTACCCTGTTGCCGAAGCTTTGACTTGAGCCGATGTCATTACTTGCCGATGTGTCTTACCCGAGCTTGCTGCATACGCTTTGTCATAGACTTGTCTTATCAATCAATCACCTTTTGAGTTGAACCAACCCGATACCACCACGTGTCCGAGCTGATTGTTAAGACAGCCGGCAGACCTTGAAACAAATCATTTTTTTCTCAAATCTCTACCTTTAGAGAGAGAAGCTCTAGAGAGGATGAGGAGAAGTTCTTGCGTGAGAATAGATCTTCCAAGCTTGATCTTCGAGGTTTGAACCGTTAGATTCAACTTTTGAGGTTAGAATCTTGATCTACTTTGATCGTTGTTATTGATCATCTAGCTGCATTGCATGATCGAATCTGTTTAGCATGTCATGCATCGATTTGAAGTTGGTTTTGGAAGAGAAAAATGGTATTCGTGTGTTCTTGAAGAAAAGTCTCGTTTTGATCCGAAAGTTTGGAACCAAAACCATGTTTTTGTGTTTATTCTTGCATGACCTTCTTGTATGGGTACCCAGGTCCCTGTTTTGAACTCTTGGCATGAAATCTCTGATTTTGTAACAAGTTATGATCTTGTATTCATCTTCTTCATGATCATGTTCATCATGTCCTTCATGCTCTTCAAAGGGAAACCCAGGCTTTCCCGACTTTGCTTTTGAATGAGGCCATCGGGACCACACCTCGGCAAGGAGGTGTGGGACCTCGGCAAAGACCTGGTTGGTACCCAGTGTGTTTTCATGAGACGGGAGCAGTGTTTAAACTCCCAGCATGTTTTGCTTTGTCATTGACTTGGATCTGGCGAGGAATTGCCGAGATCATTCGCATGCATGAAAAGCTTGTTTTGAGAATGTGATTTGCCGTGTGACTGTAGGACCTTGATCTTTGCTTTGAGCCTGCACCTGAAGAACTAGGTGAGTGGTGCTTTTAATAAAGCATGTTATACTGTTTTGATAAATCTTGCTTTGCTTTGTCTTGATAAAAGTATTTGTTAAGCATGAATGAATAGCCCTGTTTCGATGTATCAAGTATAAGCTTTGTTTTGATTCATTCTTGAAAAGTCCCTGTACTGGAGGACTCTAAACTTTCGCAGTACCAAGTGTTAAATCCCTTGTGCTGGAGGACTCTAAACTTTCGCAGCACTAAGTATAAAAGGATACGGTCCTTTCTTGGAAAGATTTCGCAGTACCACGTATAAGAGGATACGGTCCTCTCTTGGAAAGACTATTGTGTTAAAACGGGCTACGGGCCTAAGTAACACAAGACCATCGTGTTAAAAGGGGCTACGGGCTTAAGTAACACAAGTCCCTTGTGCTGGAGGACTATAAACTTTCGTAGTACCTTGACTAATCGATTACGGATCGTGCAATCCTTGTTTTGCCACTGACGGTTTACTGCGTGGACTTCTTTGTTTTGATAAAGTTTTGATGTGTTTTGCCGATGTCAGTAAGCATCCCTTGAGACTTGTAAGACTTGATAGATGAATATGGTTCATCCCTTGTTTTGTTAGAGTTTTGATGTGTTTTGCCGATGTCAGTAAGCATCCCTTGAGACTTGTAAGACTTGATAGATGAATACGGTTCATCCCTTGTTTTGATAAAGCTTTGATGTGTTTTGCTCTGGAAGAATCTCGGCTAATATTCGTATGGTTTTGGCATGCTTTGTTTTGAAGGACTTCGGCTATATTCATGCAAAACCTTTATTATTAGTACCATTCACTGAGTATCCAAGCTCACCCTCTCTATATATATATGTAGGTGATGAGCAGGACGTCGGCGACGCCTAGATGTGTTTTTGAAAGCTTGTTTTGGATCTATGATTATGTCGGCTTTGTTTTGTATTCACGTCGACGATGTCATTTCTTTCATGTCAGCGAGTCTTGCAAATCATGCTTCTTGGCTTGTATTCACTGTCATTTTGTATACGTCGGCTCGAGAAGCCTTTTGATCAAGATGTAATACGTATTTTACTTTATTGTATTCAAGTTGTAAAGATGTATGCCATATCATTGGACTTATGCACAGCTCTTATGGACTACTTGTATTTTGATTTATTGCTTCCGCATTTGTGAGCCCCTGTATCCATACTCTGATTATGTTAAACTTTTGAAAGTTGGCCTTCGGTAATTACGGATTACTGGCCATCACGGCACCAAACTACTAGGGGCGGTTTGGGGTCGTGACATTGGTGGTTCGATTGACCACACTTAAAGAAAGTGATCCCTCCCCGACCATCTCTCCTAGAACCTGAACTTGGTACTAGGAAAGTGGACCTAGACTGTGCTCCCTAGGACTACTATGGATTGGAACCCCTCTACCTCTTGCTATCCTGAATCTCTCCCTAAACCTCCTAACTCCTCTGCCTCGAGCCCCTCATTCTGTCTTCCTCAGTCTGAATCACGGTCCCTAAGTGAGCTGCCACCTCCACAAGACGACCATAATCCCTAATAATGGACATGGTCACATTGGAAAGGAAAGCGATCGTCAACCTCTTCTCAAACTCCAAACAACGACGTTCCTCCTTTGCCACAAGTTCCCGTGCAAACCTCAATAAACTGGTAAAGACAACCTCAAACTCAGCCACCGGTGTGTTAAACTACTTGAGCTTCAAAAACTGCTCCCTCAACTACTCTCTAATAGTGAGAGGCAAAAATTTGTCCTAGAAGGTATTGACAAAAGCCTTCCAAGTCACCTCAATGCGCACATGCACATACTTCCACCACTGAACTGCATCTCTCTTTAGTTGGAAGGATGCTAAGGTCACTCTCAGTCGATCGTGCTCGATACGAAGCATCTCAAACGTCTTCACCATCTACTCTCAACTACATGGGCTTGGACTTGATTCTCAGCTTTGAGAATGTCCATAGATTCCCACAAAGCTCCGGCCATTTCATGATCCAAAGTGCCCATGGCCTGCTGACCAACTGGTTTAGCTGCATTGGCCTGACCAACCCCTTCCTCCTGTGTTGGAACATCATTTGGTAATGGCACTTCCTGCCGTCTAGGCCTGCCACGTCTACCACCACCACGTCCATGTTCTAACAGCCTAATGAAGATAACATGAAATTAGCATATTTATAAATGTGCCGAAACTAACTCACTAGCGTCCTAATATGGTGGACCATAATTAATTCACTCCACATAACCACGTAGTTACATAAACACATACGAAGTTTCTTTGTAGATAACGATCATCTCGTGACGTTGGCAGTGCTCCACTTAGAAATAGTAGTGATTAAATGCTCTTCTAACAGGACTTCTAGAAACTCATAAACTCCATCAATATCTTACAAATTAAATTCCATACCCACTTAGTCACATAAGCATGTTATCACATAGCATACCAGGTTATTCATCTCATCTAGCAAGGGAACCCATTGTGGTAATAACCACTTCTCACGGTCCCAAAGTATTCAAACCCAGTAGCTCTAATACCAAGTTGTAATACCCCTAAAACATAATAATAAAACCATCTCACAAGATTTACCAATTAATAATACATTTTAGAATATAATATCTTTACATCCATATGATCCAGTTGTACAAAAGATGGCACAAGCAACTATATATTCAAAAGCCCTAACCCTGAATCTATAGCGTGTGTCATAAGAAAAAGATGTGAAACAAGAGTTAAACAGATAAATGAATGCCTTAATGGCTACAACTTTCCAAGTCGATGCTTGGTTACAACAACAGTGAGTTTGAAACTTAATACAAATAATGCCCTTGCCTTGTACAAAAATAATTACAACAATAACAAAAGAAGCTCTTGGCTCTAAGTCCTCCCAAGCTACGGCCTTGGCGAAGACATATCATTAGCACCTGAAAATGGCCTTCTACATAGAGTAAGCCAAAGCCCGGTAAAGAAACTCTATCACAATGTATAAATCTTAACAAAGCTATAAGGTGGATGCATAGGCAATGCTCGTGCCAAAACATTTAATATCTCTTTCCAAAAACCATGTAATGCCAGGTTTATATCACAATTCATTAAATCATTTCCTTTACAATAGAAAACAGGACAATGGATATAACACTAGGAATCTCTAGGATGTATCTGCAAGTATGCTACAAGCACTACCTATTGTCATTTTTATCGATATTAACCGGAAGGCTTGGCACCTATCCCCGCGGGTTTTTGGACTTTCATCAAGGACACACAGGCCAACATAATACCACAACTACACTCTTATCTAGATTCACCAAGGTATTGACCCATTTTTCTCAAAACAATAAACATTTTCAAAGTGTTAAATATGTTACAATGCTCGATGCAAATGGATGATAAATTAATTTCAATTCACCTAATTCTCATCCAATCTCTACAACAATCATAGTTATCCTCCACCGATAGCCCAAAATAGATATCTCTAAACAGATAGATAATTTTCAATAAAGATATACTTTCCAAAATCTCAAGATATACTTTCCAACTCTACTATGATTACCATCATCATTCCAATTCCATAAAACCCACATCATTTCCATTTTCCCTTTACAAAATCAAATATTCACATTTTAGGGAAAAATCCCATTTTCTTTATAAATCAATTCTAAGGATAAAAATACGTCATTTTACCATAACTCAACCACATTGAAAATTTCACAACCATTTTTAAGAACCCATTTGAAAATCCCTCTTTTGATTTCAAACAAAAACCCTAGATTTGTTCAAAAATTCCCAATATCAAGATTTCCTTAAAAAGACAAATAACCAAGTTAAAAATCATACTAAAGTGTGGAGAAATCCCTACCTCAAAGCTAGAAGACGAGAGAGAGAGAGAGAGAGAGAGAGAGAGACAGAGACAGAGAATGGAGAAACCCCGAGAAAGACGAAAACTAACTTTACTCTGACTAGAATGAAGCTCTAGGTGAGTTCTAGCTTTTTAAAAAAGGGGCTAAGGTATAGAGATTAATAGATTGAGAGTATTTGGAGGTTGAAGGTGAGTTCTAGAGTGAGAAGGTCTAGATTTAAGGTTTTGAAATATTCAGAGAGAGAGAGAGATATGAAAAAGTGACTCACAAAGTGACTTTAACGGATTGATATACGTACAGACTGCTCGAGTGACCAGATACAAAACGAGAGACTGCTCGAGCGAACAAAATACCGTTCGAGCGAAGAACACTAACCTCCTAGTACTTTTGCAGACCTGCAAAAGTACTGAGAGTTCCAAAAGATCGCTCGAGCACAAGGACCGCTCAAGCCAAGGCTGTTTGAGTGCAAGAAACACTGCTCGAATGAAGAATGCCATAGTCCCAGTAGTTTTGGAGACCGTTCGCTCAAGCGAACAAGCCAAAATCTAGCAGCAATAGTTTTGAAAAACTAACTCCCAACCTATTTCAAACATAACCAAGACACTCCAATAATCTATCTCAACAAGGAATAAAATTAAATAAGACATGAACAACCAGCAAGACAAGAAATCTCATATCCAAAACAATGAACGGATCAGGTTTAAACCAAAATCGTTATACAGTAACTGGTTTTGAGTCCCATGTTTTCTTACAAGTCATTTGTGCCTATTTAGTCGCATGTGTCAAGTTTCATTCATATCCGACACCGTTTGACCATTTTAGTGCGTCAACCGGCTCAAAAAAGAATTTATAAAGGATAAGTTTTCACAAATGGAAATTAGGTTGTAGATTCAAAACCGGGAATTAATTTCAAGTCCCATCTTATCCACAAAGTCATTTGTCCCTAGTTAGTCGTGTATGTCAAGTTTTGTTCACATCTAACATCGTTTGACCATTTTAGCGCATTAACCAGCTCAAAAAAGAATTTCTGAAGGACAAGTTTTTACAAACGGGGATTAGGCTCTAGATTCAAAATCAAAAACCGATTTCAAGTCCCATTTTTTGTACAAATCACTTGTGCCTAGTTAGTTGTGTGTGTGTGAAGTTTCAGTCACATCGAGTGCCGTTTGACCATTTTAGTGCATCAACCGGCTCAAAAAAGAATTTCTAAAGGACAAGTTTTTACAAATGGGAATTATGCTCTAGATTCAAAATCGGGAACCAGTTTCAAGTCTTGTCTTTTCCTACAAGCCATTTGTTCCTAGTTAGTCGTGTGTGTTATGTTCCGTTGACATCCAACGCCGTTTGACCCTTTAAACTGTTACAAATAGATTCAACATACATCATGTATCTAACAACACAAAAGTTGGCATGTCTTATGACTGTCAGAACTTAAAAACAAAAAGATATGTTATATAAAACAAATTTTAATATGGCCCCTACAAAGAGTAAGATATATGTTATTTCCTCCAAACAACAAATAGAAAACATATATATATATATATATACATATATATTTATCAATTAAGATTAATTTCAATTTTATCCCTTACACTATCAATTTCATCTATTTGGTCCCTAAAGTTTCTGACATTTATCATATAACCCAATTGGAGACAATTTGATTTTGTCCAAATCACTAATAGTGAAACCTAACCAAATACAGAAAAAGGTAAATTTGCAATTTCGACAACCTGAATCATACAACCAAACACCCATGTTTTTACTCGCACTATATATGACAACTTACTTGAAAAAGAGTTTCTAAAGGACAAGTTTTCATAAATGATAAGTTTTCAAAGTGTTTGAAAGTTTTACATCATCATCTAATGGTGGTGGATGTGGGTTCTCAGCGACCTGAGAATCCTTACATTCACGGTGGCCACTCGATGTGTAACAACTCCAACCCATGATTAACGTTAATTCATGTTTAATTATGCCTAATGGGTAATTAAAGTGAAATTTTGCATCATATGTTACCTTATTTGTGTTTATATCTATTTAACGTAGAAAGATCTGTTTATGTTTTTGTTTCAGTTTGCGAAATGAAGGCCTTATCGGCATCCGATTTAGAAATTGACTTGATTTATGTGTTATTTGGGATTTATAGAATTTTGTGGTAGGTTTAATTGAAATTCGATTCAGAACGATTAAATTAGAATAAAATAATTCCAAATGATTAGTCTCAGCAAGAATTCATGAAGCTTCACTAATTAGCCTATGTAAGGCCACTACCAAGCTCGAGACTCCCTTTTTCCTCACTCATTTTGGGCTCAAACGTGTGGAAGGAGAGAGAGAGAGAGAGATTGAAGCCAACATTAAAGGAGGAAGAGAATTAAGAAGGAAATATGGGAGATTAAAGAGAATTGAGGGAGTTTAGCTCCAACACTTGCTAACTCACGGCTTAAGGTAGGAAATTCAACTCTTCAATTATGAATTTGAATTACTTGGTGTAAGAATTCAAGAGAATTAGAAGATTAAGCATAAGAATCAAGCTAAAATTTGAGAATTGTAACTCATACCATGCATGCATGCATGCATAATTCCTTCTATTTTGAGTCTAATGGTTAAGGATTTTCACATGCATGTACTAAGTCTACCATAGTCTTGTAATTTCATCATGTTTTCCATCAAATTACCTTAGTTGATTATGTTTTGGAAGCTATGAGTTCAAATGAATACATGCATGTCATATGTATAGCATGTTCTTATATTTCAAGTTGAATTTTTGCACAATTGACTAACTTTTGGACCTTGATTTCATGAAATGAACTTCAAACCATGATGTTTTACAAGTTCTTAGATATTTTCCAGAATTGTTGTCCAAGAAAATGAATTTTGAGGTGTGGAATTTGAGTTTGGAGCTTGGGGGTGCAATCTGGAAATTCTAAATTCTGCACTCCCGCTCGAGCGTGAGATTCTACGCTCGAGCAGCCACCTTTGTTTTTGCATCTCCGCTCGAACTACCAGAAGCTTGCTCGAGCGTGAAATATATGCCTCAGAAGTTTCATGTTTTTGCAAACTGCTCGAGCATCAAGAGTTGCACTTGAGCAGGGACATGAGTCTCACGCTCGAGCAACCATCGAGTGTCCGTTGAACGTGAAAATCACATATCCAACACTTTTTAAAATTTACAAAATGCTCGAGTGTGGGAAGTTGTGCTCGAGCATGCCCTCATACATTGCATGTCTGCTCGAGCGGAGAAAGTTCTGCTCGAGCGGGGACCGTGTTTTTAGAAATTTGACCAAGTGTTTTCCAATGCATTTTAGCATCCTCATTGCATCCTAGGCATTCCTAAGCCAAAATTAAGACATAGTAATGAGGGTAAAATGTAGAAACACACTAAGAATGGAACGTAATGAGTCAAATATATTCCAACATGTGTTTCAAATGTTTATTTGTTATGTGTTGATGCAGATCACGTGCCATAAATCGTTTGATTAGTCTGCTCTATTTGTCTGCACCCGAAGTGATCTGTGATTAATAACTTAGTAAAGCTATGTTCAACTTTATTTATTTTCTGTATGATAAAATAAGATCTGTTTTTCGAAATGTTATGTTCTGTACAATGAATGGTTGTCCAATTTCTGACAACGTATTCGTGGCATCCTTAGCATCATGTGATATCTGTTAACTATTACTCGATATCGGAGGTTCCATTATGGAACTTATTATGTCTGCACTCTATTAACCGTACCGGAGGCTCCATCATGGAGCTCAGCATATTTGTCATCTGTTACCCAGATTCAGAGGTTCCTTTATGGAACTGGTTACTCATAACCACCATATGTTCTGCATCTATTCTGTATCTGCTCTGTTAGTGCTAATGAATGTACCACATATGATTAAGCTTGAACTCTGATTTCTGTATATGATTTGAACAAGAATATGAATCTAAATATGATTTTTGAATCTGGTATGGACATCATTCATTAAAATCCCTTACTCTATTATTATTCACTTGGCTTCCGTTTGCTATTTATATTATGTATGTAGGTGATTAGACACGTGACCAGGCTCAGAGTTAAGGACCTGGCGTCTCAATTTTTTGTTAGCTAACCTTTGTGCCTCTTGAGGAGGTTCCGGATTAAGTCAAGTTTAGTGGCTGTTTTTGTGAATGTATTTCTTTTTAATTATGGCCAAATTTTTTGATAATATGTTCATGGAGTGATGTGTAAATACTGTATCTTTTGACGCCACTCGCTAGTTTACAAAAGTTTTAAATTATCTGTTCAGAGCTCAATGGGCTACATATATTTTGTATATTTGCTTCCGCAGCCCCTAACTATATGTTATTCTGTTTAGAGGCCTTTTGTAATCTAGGGATTACTGGCCGGTTACGATCCTAAACCTATAGGGGCAGGTTTAGGTTGTGACACGATGCATCTAATACCTATGATATTCATGGTATAATTTTCTAATCGTATGTATATTCAATGATAGAATTATGCTAAAATTAGATATTTATAAAACATAATTTATGCCAAACTTGTCTATTGTGATTTGTACTCCCTCCTTGGGACATAATAGCCAACATTTTAGCTCTCATTTGTTGCATGTGATTCAAAAGCTCTACTGGCATCTCCTCCCTAAACTCCTCTCTAATCTTATCCCGTAACTCTTCCCTCAACTCTGTACGAACCTGCTTGGTAATCCAATGTTTGTATTTGTTTAAAAAGCCATTTGAAATAAAGTGCTCTATAGTATCTCGGACAAAATGATAGCAATTCTCGTAATTCTTACACGGGCAACAAATCATCGAACCTCTAGCCCTATTGGTGTATGAAAACACTAAAAATTGGTTGATCTCATTCATGTATTCCCTCGACATCCTATTTGGAAAATCAATCCAACTCTTGTCCATTTTGTGTACTTCTCCCAAACATATATTCTATACACATTAACATGCATATTAATTAACCATCACAACAACTCTAAATATTTCGTACATGTTCATGCATCGTGATGCCTATCCTATATGATAATTACATACAAATGAACAAACAATCCTTGAAGCCAAAAGCAACTTGAAAACAATTTGGACATTCAAATACTTTCATAACACAGTAATAGTTTTCTTATTTGCATAAATAAAATATCATATTTAGAATGGAGATCAAACCATAATCACAACATAAATGGCAATAAGAGGGCTTCCAAAAGGTAAATTAAAAATACACGAAGAGCCTCATTTCTTTAGGTTATGAAACCTGATAGCAAGGCTTTTATGCCTAATATCTGATCTTTTTCTAATTACCACTCCTTAAGCCAAATGGAAGCATTCTTATAAGATCTCTAAAAAAACATTGATTCTTGTAAGAAGTTGTCACTCCATTACTTTGACACATTACCTTAGAGCTACAAGGGATAGCAAGGATGCAAATCATTTTTTTTTTATTCCTTAATAAGTGATTGAATTCTATATATATTCTAATAGATATCAGAAACATGAAATTTAATTGACACCTTATTGCCAATATAAGAAACTGAGAAAGATAATATCAAAGCATCAACAAATGCAAGAAATTCCCTAAATTCCATCACAAACTAGAGGTTGATGAACTTAATCTAGTCAAATATTAGCACAAAAATGATCACATCAAAACCTAACAACCCTAATACAAGAATTAGAGTAACAAACAAATAGAGGATTGTAATAGGTCAACCTAAAACTATACTTCTTCTCATCAAACAATCTCACCCACAATCCCAAAGAAGAAAAGGAAAAAGAAAAAAAAAAGTTAAATAAAGCAATTTCTGGCAAACAACAAAGAATCAAATTTGATTGAATAAACAAAATTGGAAATACACAAGCATAAGCACATAGAAACATATACATACACACAAACACAGAGGGAGAGAGAGATGGAGAGTTGACCTAGGGCTTCAACAACAAGGACCGACTTTGAATCGATCAAACAAGGGTTCTCCCCAATTTGTGAAATAGAAAAACCTAATGAGCAATTCCATCGATCAAACTGTTTTGAACTTCATTTTCTCTCCTATTTAAATAAGCTTTAAAATTTGTAGAATATAGTTTAACATCAAGGATAATAAAAACAATGACATCTAAAAGTAAAAATCTTTCGAATTCTTTCATTAAACCTTATTTTACTCCATGTTTTATACTTTAACCAACAAAAACTTCATTAAACAAAATCTAACTGGTTATCTTCATTGTTTGGTTTTTATAAGGCCAAGCCATCGTAGAGGCGCTTCAATTCAGTTAAAGATTCTTATTGTCAAATAATTTTTCCCTTTTTTGGGTAAGAATTATGTGTTTAATAAAGAACAAGAAGGTGTGACTAATCTGTGAGCAATTAACAAGTGAAAATAAATCAAACCCATGTATGACTTGATGGGTATTGCCCAAAATCATCATAAACATCACTACACAAACCACAATATTTTCAAATTTAGTTTAACACCTTTCAAAATTCTCTGAGAAATAATCACAAAAAGGGAAGCAAGTAAATTCTTTACTATTGCAATCATAGCATCAAATTTCAATTCAAATAATCAGAATACATGCGAATACATACATATTCAATGGATTAGGGCTCTGTTTCACCTTTGTTCTTTGAAACTGATTAGGGCTTGGAAACTGATGAGAGAGAAAGGGAAAACGGGGGAAAGGAATCAAACCACTCAAACCCATTTATGACATCAAACCCATAAAACCCAAGAAATTGAACCACTTAAATCAAACCCATTTAAGAAATCAACAAAGATGTCAAACTCAAGAAATCATATATATACATATAAAAGAACGAATGAAGACAGAAGGGACCTCACCGCCGCCTCACCGTAGCCACCGTTGCCTCGCCACTGGAGTTGCCGTCACCCACCCTCCTCTGTATTTGAGTTCGCTTCTCTCTCCTCTCTGTTCGCCTCTCTCTTTGATGGGTTAGGCTTTCTTAGGTAGGGTTTGGTAAGGTTTAAGTTATTGGTATATGTTTACAAAATTTTTATAAATTGGTTTTTGTTTATTTTTAGAAAAACATAAATTACAAACGCGTTTGGTTTGAACAAAATTTTAAAAAAAATTTAAAAACATAAACTAAAAAATATGTTTGTTCAGGCCTAAAATATTTATATTTGTTTTTATTATTTATGACATTGAGATCACACACATTATAATTGAAACAAAAATTAATTAAAAAAATAATTGAAAAAAAAATTTAATTGGGAAAAAATAATTGAAAAGAAAAATTAATTGAAAAAATTTAATCAAAAAAATAATTGAAAAAAAAATTAATAGGGAAAAAAATGTTTGAAAAAAAATTACTTGAAAAAAAAATTAATTGAAACAAAAATATTGAAAAAAAATAATTGAAAAAAATTATTTGAAAAAAATTAATTAAAAAAAAAATTAATTAAAAAAATAATTGAAAAAAATTTAATTGGAAAAAAAATTAATTGAAAAAATAATTGAATAAAAATTTAATTGGGAAGAAAAAATTAATTGAAAAAAAAGATTAATTGAAAAGAAATTATTTGAAAAAAAATTAATTAAAAAAAATTAATTGAAAAAAAAATTGAAAAAAAAAATTGAAAAAAAAATATTTGAAAAAAAAATTGAAAACTGAAAACATAAACTAATTTTTTGAGTTTACGTTTTTTTTCTCAAATTTATAAAATGAGACAACCATTTATAAACTAAAAAAATTATCAAACAAGTTTTTATGACAGTTTTTAAAATTTTTGTAAATATAAACTGAAAACATAAAGCAGAATGGTTACCAAACAGGCCCTTAACAAATGAGAGAGAAAGGAAAAGAGGAGGAAAGGGATTTTTTTTTTTTTATAATCAAAATGGCATTGTTTTAGCCAAATTTGAAAATTAAGAGCCCATATTTTATTCATTACCGCTCAATATCTCAAAATTATTGCTTCAAGATTGGTGGTAAAATTATTTCCTCACCAAAAAGTCTTAAAATATTAAAAATTATTAGTGACGAAAATATATTCCTCACTAAATAGTATCAAAATATTAAAAATCATTAGTGACGAAAATATATTACTCATTAATAATTTTATAATTGGTGACAAAATTATTTTCGTCTACTTCTCTGTCATATGGAGGAAATCTCCACAAAGAAACAAAGAAAGAAAGGAAAGGAAACACAAAAACAAAATGAAAAGGATTTGCATGAGATAGCCCAAAATAAAAGAAGAAAAGAAAAGAAAAGAAGATTTGGACTTTGAACTTTAATTATCTTCCAACATTTTTATTTACATAATAATATAAATATAGATAGGTAATAGATAGATTAAAATTAATTATAAATATAGTTATATTTAATTGGACATGGTTTTGTATAGCTATATTTAAACTTCTAAAATTTCTTTTTCAACATCCTATATCTTTTGGGAAGTGTCAAAAAAGCTAGCTTATTGGCTTATTTGGTCACATCACCTCTTATAACGCCCCAAAATAATTTACATAAAACCCAACTCATAACAGTAAGTCAATTGATCAATAATCGAATATCTTCTATTGATTTTATATTTGATCATTACAGAAGGTGACATATGCAATATATATTCATAAATTCTAGATTCTGAATATATAGTATATGACATCAATACCAGAGTAGAAAGGAAATTAAAATCAAATAAAGAAATGCCCTAATGACTTACAACTTTCCAAGACGATACTTGGTTACAACAAAATTAGTTTCAACTCAATACAAATAAAGCCCAAGACTTAAGCTCCGAGTCCTCCCAAGCTATGTCCTTGGCGGAGGCATATCATTAGTACCTGAAAGTTGTTTCCCATATAGGGTGAGCCAAACCTAGTAGAAATACTCTAACACAGTATATGAATCTTAACAAAATTATAAGGTAAATGCACAATGCATGCCATTTTCCAAACATTTCTCGTTTTCTATCTCAAAACAATGCAATGTCAGATTATATATCAATTTAGAAAATATAATCTTTTTTATATAGAAAATAGGGCAATGGATACAATACACTGGGAATATCTAGGTACGTATCTGCAAGTAGGCTATACAAACACAACCAAAGCCATTTTACAGGTACTAACCGGAAGGATCGACACCTAACCGAACATGTTTCTGGACTTTCACCGATGACACTCATTTCAACATAATAAAACTACTACCACACCTATAAGCAGATTCACCACGGTATTCACCTATTTTTCTCAAAAACCAATACATTTACAGTGTTTAATATGAAATGATGCTTATTGTACATATGTATGAGAAATTAGTTTCAATTCAACCTAATCCTCATGCAATGTCTACAATAATTAAGACTATCCTCCATCAATAGCTCAAAACATATATTTCTATTCAATAGATAAATTCCAATCAAAATACATTTTCATAAATTCCAATGGAAGTGATAATACATATCTAACTCCACCATCATCATGAACAAAATCATTATTCCAATTTCACAATATCAAACATCATTTTCCATTTTTCCTTTTCCAATTTCCAATATCCAAAATTAGGGCGAAATCCCCTTTTCTTTCCAAAATCAATTTTTAGAAAAAGCTTTCCATCATTTCCACACAACTCACTCACAACCATATTCCTATAACCATTTTCAAGAATCAATTTGGAAAACCCCTCTATTGATTTCAAATCAAACCCTAGGTTTTACCAAAATCTCCCAAACACATAACCCTTTTGAAAAAACAAATAACTAAGCTAAAAATCATAAAAAGAGTCAAGGTAATCCCTACCTCAAAGGAGAAGACCAAAGGGAATAAGAAGTAGAACTCGACCGAGCCAAAAACACAAACTTCTTCAATTATAATAAAGCCCTCGACGTGCTTTATCCTTTACCAAAGGATTAAGGTTAAGGAATGAACAGATTAAGAATATTTGGGGTAAAAGTTCAAGAACTAGAGAGAGAGAGAGAGAAAAAGTAGATCTAGGGTTTTGGAATGTTTAGAGAGAGAAAGAGATGAAAAAGTGAGCAAAAAGATCTTCCTCTCGATCTAATATAAGCACAGACCGCTCGATCGGAGTGGTTGCTCGAGTGACAGACACAATAAGTGACACCCGTCGAGCTACCAAAACCACCGCTCGTGCGCACTATGACCCCCTTCCAGTAGTTTAGACCTGTAAAAGTTTGCTCGAGCGCAAGAAAGATTGCTCGAGCGCAAAATACAAACTCTCAATAGTTTTGCAGATTGTAAAAGACCACTCGAGCATAGGAGTGGTCACTCGAGCAAACAAGCTGAAATCTGGGCAACAACACTTTGAAAAACTAACTTCCCAACCTGTTTCAAACACCACCAAAACCCCCAAAAGCTAAACTCAGTAAACAATAAGATGGAAATGAGTTGAACAACAGTTAAATACATGGGGTCTCGGATCGAAAAGCAATAAATGGGTTGGGTCTAAACTAGACTCATTATAATCTCCCCCCTTAAGGAATTTCGTCCCTAAAATTTAGGATGAATTTACATTAAAAGAAATTGAAAACATTTCCATATCATTTAGATTATAGCAAGGCTACGCCAAGTTTCTTAACACCAACTATCACCATTTCATTTCCCAAACATATACATTGTTCATATATTACAACATTTACAAAATTTTCAACATAAGTTTCAAACATCAACAAATAGGCCTGTATACTTCTCACGGACTTCTGCCCCAAGCTCCCAAGTTGCCTCCTTAACCCCATGGTGTTGCCATAACACTTAACTAATGGAATAGTCTTGCCTTGCAAGACTTGGTCCCGAGAGTTTAAAGCCCATACCGGTCTCTCTTCATACAAGGTATCCTCATCTATCTCTAACTCAGTCCAATCCAACACATGTGAAGGATCATGCTCATGCGTCCGAAGCATGTAGATATGGAACATGTCAGCATGTAGATATGGAACATGTCATGAACCCTAGGCTGTAACAATCTGAAAATTTAAGTTATGCCTCAAATTTTATACTAGTATTATGGTTGTATGTGATAATATATTATTAAATAAATAATAATAAATACATAATCTAATTTGGCATTAGAAAATATGCGATTAATTAGGGATTATTATTTGGGGCCAAATTAACAGAAATATGGAATTATAATACTAGTTGGGCCAAATTAAAGTTAAAGATAGTAAATAAATAAATATGAAAGTAAGAGTAAATAAATAATAATATTGATAACAACAACAATAATAATAATGTGTGTGGTAGTAAAATAAATAATTAATTTTTTGTTGGTATACGAAATAGTGTAATTTAATTAGGGATTAATTTATTTATATAGTTATGCTAGGAAACTGTGCCAAGGTGTAATTATTTTAAATATTTACAAAGATAAGAATAAATCTACAGTTATAATGAGCAAATCAGCTGAAGTTATGAAGCAATCCAAAGGAGGATTTGAATCGGCCACATGCTGGCCTGAGAATGGTCTCACCTCCCTATAAATAGGGAGAAGTTGCTCAATCTGTGGAAGAGAGAAAGAAAGGAAAAAAAAAGAGAGAATGAAAGGAAAGGCAATGAAAGGAAAAGGAACTAAGAAAAGAGGAAGAAAATGAAGAAAAAAATAATGAAAGCCGAGAGGATCTTTAATAGCGGAAAGAAAGAGTGAGGTATTAAAGTTAAGGTGAGTTATATTATACCTTGAGTTACCATAATATATTTTATGTATATTTTGACTTACCATAATTTGTTTTATACAAGTTATGTTTTATAAATTATTATTAATTATATTAATATTTCAGTTACGTGGATTCCTTTTTGAACTCTATTTGTTAAAATAAAACCCATGGATATGTTTATTTATATTTTAAAAAATATTTGACAATGATCTTATAAACAATTATGTTTTGTAAGTACCACCATGGGAGTCCCACGCCTTAGGGGACTTAAATAATCATTGGCCTCTGTTTGGTCACTTTATGGGCCTCGGATCTATTGACCTCTGT